CATCGCGGGCACGATTGACTATGGTTGTTACTACAAGCATGGCAGCAAGGAGCTGAAGCTGCACGGGTACAGCGACGCCGACATGGGCGGAGACATTGATACAAGGAAGAGCACCACTGGCGTGCTGTTCTTTCTTGGCTCCTGCCCCGTGACTTGGCAGTCCCAGAAGCAAAAGTCATCGTGTTATCGTCCTGCGAAGTGGAGTACATTGCAGGGACGACGGCGGCATGTCAAGGTATATGGCTGGCGCAGTTGCTTGTAGAGCTGAAGAGCGAGCAGCGCACAGCTTTCCTGCTGAAGATGGATAGCCAATCGGCTATAGCCCTCAGTAAAAATCCCATTTTCCATGACCGAAGTAAACACATAGATGTGAGATTTCATTTCATTCAGGAGTGTGTTGGAGATGGGAAAATGGATATTAAGCACGTCTGCACTGAGGAGCAGATCGCCGACATTCTGATGAAGCCGCTCCCGTGAGATCGTTTCTACGAACTGCGTATAAAGCTGGGCGTTGTCAAGATCGACGAGGAACTTCAGGCTTAGGGGGTGAAATATAAGCAAGGCATGTAATCCTGAGTTCCTGCTTATTTCCTTTCTGATAGATAGCGTTGAGCTCGGCTTGGAAAGTTCCTCCCGAGCGCGTCGGTGTATCAAGGCAACAAATCCTGCTGATCTTGCGTGTGGGATGGCACACGTTAACATGGTCATGCATGGCATCATGCTGCATAGCGGACGGCAAGATTAGCTTGGCCGATCCTTTCCTTTCTTTTACTTTCCAGAATTAGCGTCAGCGTTGTATATAAATAGTTGGCTAATGTATTGAGAAAAGCTGTCACGGTTTGTGCAGCACCAAAAACTCCTGAGTCTTATTTGCATCTTAGAGTTCTTAAGCGAGTTCATCGGAAGAATTCTGGCCGCCGGAGAGAGTTCCGGCTGACAGATGTCACCGGTCATCAGTACGGGCCGTGCAGGGGCGTTGTTGTGGGGTCAAGGTAGGAGGCAGGGATAAATTTGGCACTTGAAGCTCTGTTATGTATGCACAATGGCAATGAAGGAAATAAATGGTGTAGTTGGATGGCAATTAGATGAATAATACATGCCTATATAACTGTGATGGCAGTGAGGCGATAAAAAAATAGAAACAGATGGCAACGATCGGAACTCATAATTTTTTATGGCAACGAAGAAATCGGTATAGATTTTGATGGCAACGAAAGAATCTTCTCTTTTTTATACTGTAGCTACGGCACTGTTGTGTCAAACACTGTCAATCTACACTAACCAACAGTGATATCGTGATGCCACTGTCAAGTTATATATAGCATATTACTGTCAGGTTGTCGCTCAACCCATTGGTGAGACCGAGCTTCATTGCCTGATCAATAGGATTCCAATCATATCATAGTCCGGGTCTTAGACTTACGATCCGGCAGTGAAGCTAGCTCACTGCCGGCTCTAGCAAACCCAACAGTAAATAGGTCAGTAGGGATGGGGTGTTCTATATATAGCAGTGGTCTTTGGTATGGAACCTAAAAAGTCATTATAATATATATACTCCTATATGGAATGCTAATGTCAAATTATGATTATTTATATTCACCCCACTTAGGCCTTGTTTGGTTCTTCATAGAATCAAAGGGTTGAAAGGGATTGAAGAGGGTTGAGAGAGATTTTGAACTATAGGGGATTTAGAGCATCTCCAAGAGCCTTTCACTACCGGAGACCGGCTCTTTGCTGAGTGTCAAGTGGTTTGCCGAGTGTTGTTTTTCGGGCACTCGGCAAAGACGCCTTTGCCGAGTGTTTTTTTTGACGCTCGGCAAAGAAGCTCTTTGCCGAGTGTTTTTTTACACTCGGCAAAGAAAATTTCAAATCACATTTTGAAACAGTAAATTAATTCAAATGAAAAATTTTTCAACTACAAAGTTGTATAACTCATCAAGATATACAATGTTTGTTTTGGTCTTTTCTTCATATGACAAAGTGAAAGTAAATTTGTTCACAAATCTAACATATCTCTCTTGTAGTTTATGAAACTACAAGAGAGATATATAAGATTTGTGAATAATGTTAGAACGACCATGTCGGATGAAAAGATGACTAAACAACCAAAATAAACTTTGTATATCTCCAAAAGTTATGAAACTTTGTAATTGACAACTTTTTAATTTGAAATCATCTTGTCATGCAAAATTGTGTTTGAATTTTAAAAATTTAAAATTCGAACTTTTCAAACGACCTCGGATGGAAAAACAACCAAAATAAACTCTGTAGATCTCAAAAAGTTATGAAACATTGTAGTTGGCAACTTTTTGATTTGAAATCATCTTGTCATGCAAAACTGTGTTTGAATTTTAAAAATTTAAAATTCGAACTTTTCAAACGATCTCGGATGGAAAAACAACCAAAATAAACTCTGTAGATCTCGAAAAGTTATGAAACATTGTAGTTGGTAACTTTTTTATTTGAAATCATCTTGTCATGCAAAACTGCGTTTGAATTTCAAAATTTTGAAATTCAAATTTTGTAAACGACCTCGGATGGAAAAACTTCCTAAACTAAAAGTGTAGATCTTGAAAAGTTATGAAACTTTATAGTTTACAACTTTTTTATTTGAATTCGTTTAGGGCCTCAAACAAGCAATTTATACTCGGTTTAGTATAATATGTTGGGAACTAAAACGAAATCCAAACACAAGTGACAGTGTGGTGTAGTGGTAGAGGAGGTTCGCGTGCAGTGGGAGGTCGCGGGTTCGAATCCCGTCGGCCGCGTTGCTGCGAAATTTACGCGAAAAATGCTAGAGATAGGCGGGCGCTGGCCGGTGGGGGCCTCCATCGATTAAATTTTTTTTTCCATTTTTTCCCATTTTTTTCGGGTTTTTTTTCGGTTTCAACTTTGCCGAGTATCGGGCACTCGGCAAAGACTTTGCCGAGTGCCCGATAAAAGGCACTCGGCAAAGAATTCTTTGCCGACGGGTTTTTTACCGGAGGCTCTTTGCCGAGTGCTGCACTCGGCAAAGACTTTGCCGAGTGTCCGATAAAAGACACTGGACAAAGAATTCTTTACCGACAGATTTTTTACCGGAGGCTCTTTGCCGAGTGCTGCACTCGGCAAAGGCTTTGCCGAGGGCAAAGTAGACTTTGCCGAGTGCATTAGGCACTCGGCAAATCGCCTGATTCCGGTAGTGTTTCTAAATCTCACTTTCTAAATCATCATTTGAAGAGCCATGTGTATAAAAATCGTTTTCTATATCTTTTTACTCTCCAATAGTTTTTCTATATCTCATGCGCACTCTAGAGAGCCATTCTTGTCTTTTATTTTTAGCTAGCAAAAAATCTGGAATAGAAGATGTCTATATTTGGATGATCATTTAAAAAAGCTGTTGAAGAGTAGTTTTTCACCAAAATCTCTATTTCTAACATTTATTTAGAAAGGATATGGAGAGTCTCTTGAAGATGCTCTTAATCCCTCTCAATCCCTTTGGTTTGGGCTCAAATGAACATAGCCTTTCATTTACTCGGAGACACTCCGTCGCAGCAAACGTTCCATTGGTAATTTTGTTCTCTCCTCTGCCATATATATCATGTTTGCACGCAAGAGAGATCTTGAGCGATTCTCCCGCCATTTTCACTACCCTCTGAACTTGATGATGTGGTAGGTAGGTGAGACCATGCATAAGGGACAGCTAAGATGGCGCCATCCGGCATCTTCTTGCAGCAATAGGCTAGCTTCAGGGACCATGCAGGGCACTCACTAGTCACTAGGATTTAAATTATTACAAGCCAGTTTAGATCTTTATTTATTGATGAAATTGAATAATTAAGTTTTAAGCAACAACAATTTTTAATAATCATGAAGTTTGATAACACAAGGACTATCAGTTTTTAAGTTCCATGAATTTGGAATTAACGTTTGTTTTATTTAGCAAATAGTGTTCAAATAACTAATTTTAAAACGCTCGTCTTGTAATCACCAAACTGTGTAATTAGTTTTTGATTTAACACAAGGACTATCAGCAACTTTTTGGAATTTGGCCTCCAACTTTAGTGGCAAACACAAGGATGATCTTTATTAACTTACCCGACATTTTATCAAAAATCTGAACTAAAAGGACATAAATCTAAGATAAAAATGCAGTTACCTTTGTGATTAATTCCGTGGGACATCGCACTAGAGTTTTTGCCATTTCCACCACCACCGAGAAGATGCTGAAGCGTTTGGAATTGATGTGTATTGGACAAAAAGAACGTCACACTAGCTAACCGAAAAACGAGGAGAAAATGATGAAAGAGGCAGATATAGTAGTACTGCCTGCTACACTAGTGTCGCTAGCATGCAGCGTGCATCAAAAGGGAAGAAGGAACAAAATAAGCCTAGATTTTGGTGAAGCTGCAAAGCTAGCAAAGGTGAGTCATCATCATAAATATTTAATTTAGTCTAAAAAATTAAAGAGAGGGGCAGCGTCCGATCTGATGATCGAACAGACATGAGCTTTCATTCTCTCTCATCAGAGCATGGAGCGTGGTCAAATCTTACAGCGTCCGATCTGATGATCGAACAATAGACATGAGATCTATAATTTCATCATTTAATTCTTAAAAAAAAAATGTTATATGATTTTTCAGATCAAATCATTTTTTTTTTAAAAAATTAAACAAAAAAATTATATGAAAATTATAGATCTCAATGAGATCTCTTTCTAGTTTTGAGTCAGTCAAATCATTTTTTTAAGATGCGCATATCATGAAGCATTTTCGTTTTTCAGAAGTTATCAAAGGATGGAAGAAGCATGAGAACGAAAAAGAGAAGTAATAACAACCATCGTCGTCGCAGCGCAACGCAGGGAAAAGTCTCCTCTATTTAGACCTTCCGGCCACAGTCGCCTGCATGGAAGAAGAAGAAGACGAGGAGGAGGAGCTAATAACAACCATCGTCGTCGCAGCGCAGAGGTGCACCTCTCACCCTCACTCCCTTGGCCATATCCTGATTACTCCTACTGCTAGCTAGATGGCGGCGGCCGGTGATGACGGTTGGCTCGTCGGCGGGCTTAGGGACAGGTTGAGGTCGATGCCGCCGCCAAGGCCAAGCTGGTGCGGCACGGACCCGGACGTGCTGTCATCGTCGCTGCTGTCTCGCGAACCGCAGCTGGACCGCACCACCACCGCCTTGTCGTCGTCGCCATGGTGGCGATGGCTGCTTGGCGCGGCGGCAGTAGCGGAGGCGGGGGCAACGGCGGCGGCAGCACTCGCCGGCTGGTGCGTCCGTGGGTCGATGCCGCGGGCGATGAGCTTGCGCTTGATGTGCGTGTTCCAGTAGTTCTTGATCTCGTTGTCCGTCCGCCCTGGCAGCCGGGCGGCGATCAGCGACCACCTGTGCATTTCGTTTCACTAATATAAGAATCTTTCTGAAATTACAGATTATTCAGTTGAGTGATCGAGTCTTTGTGAAACGGATTATACGTACTTGTTTCCGAGGATCTGGTGGAGCTTGATGATGAGTTCGTCCTCCTCCTGGGTGAAGTTGCCGCGCTTGAGGTCGGGGCGGAGGTAGTTGATCCACCGGAGGCGGCAGCTCTTGCCGCAGCGCAGCAGGCCCGCCGCCTTGGGGAGCGACCGCCAGCAGCCTTCGCCGTGGGCCTTGATGTAGGCGACGAGCCGCTGGTCCTCCTCCTTGGTCCACGCGCCCTTGTTCGTGTGCGCCTTCTCGCAGCACGGCGACCTCCCCATGCTAGCTGCTGCTGCTGCTCTAAGCTAGCTAGCTCAATTGAGCACTGTTGGGTGATGCTCTACTTCTACTTGTATCATCGGCAGCACCTGCACTGCAGGGATACGTGTGGAGGAGAGGAGACGCTAGAAAAGAAAAGAGGCTGCGTTTATAAGAGAGAGACAGGGAGGGAGGGGGCGCGCATGAGCTGGAAGACATTTGACTGGGTAGGTAGGAGGAGGAGGAGAGAGACGGAGGGAAGGGAAGGGAAGGGAAGAAGACTGGGGTGAGTGTGAGTAATTGCTACTAAGCCCAAGGGATGAGCTAGTAGTGTGGTGGTAGTAGTGTGGTGGGTAGGTGGGCAGCTTCCCCGCTGCACTCCCTCTCGTCTCGTCCTCCTCCACCTCCTCCGCCTTTTGTTAATTACTGTACACTAGTGCTCTCGTGCCCCCCACAGCATTTTTCAGACAGACGACTAGCAATGCAAAGACATGAAAAGACACGTCTGCTTCTAGTTGTTAGTTCTACTAGTTTCTTAGTTTAAGCGCGTTGATATTTTAGTAACCGGAGGATCCACGAAGGCGGCAGGATTAGTTGCCTCCTTGGTTTTGTTGGCGCCAAGCAACAAGGATGGGGTTTACTTTTCTTTTTAATGATGCGTGCGTAGACAATCATGCATGCACGTATACTTAATCCTTCTGAACTGAATATGTACACTCGTATATTCATCGTACCCATGTTTTAAGTATATTTGAAAAACCGAGTTGGCAGTTTTTGAGATCGATGAAGTTATCACAGCCGCCACATTATTGATATAAGCACATGTGTTCTCTTCTGTCGATTTGGTTAAAATTATAAAAGTTTGACTGAGAACAAAACTATAAAAAATACATTTTAGACAAAAGATTATTTTTTATTAAACATTCATTTCCAAATAAGTTTACATATACTATAGATTCCCAAATGTTATATGCTGATTACCAAATAAAAATTGCATATTCTTTCTTGTAGCTTGATGATCAGGATCATGAGAAGTAATAATGGAATTACTAAACCGAAAGTAACAATTATTTTCTAAAGTATAGAAGAAAAAGTGACAGTAATAATTGCATTAAAATATGAGGACCTTGTGCAAAAACAAACGACATGTTTTTGCTAATGTTCAGTATGCATTATTCTCGTTTGATCTAAAGTGCTAGTTTTTTACCCTATAATTTTGTCCGAACACATTCTTCTGTCACTATAGCTGCACTAACACCTTTTTTAGGGTTCTAGAAGCCCAATGCAAGCATGCCTCTATTCTTTGTATGAGAGGGAGAAGAGAAAACAAGCGTGAAACAGGCTGGATCGAATTTATATATAATAAATAAAAATAAGTAAAATTCGTTGGTTGATCAGCTACCATCACCCCCCTCCTTTTTGTTGGAGGCCCTTTTTTTATTACCACTAACTGATTAATTGCTTTTCGCAGCATATATGGTCGTGTACCTGTCGCGGCAGGAGGCAAAGATTCCACGCCCTTGGAATTTGCCTTTTTGAAGATTATTTTACATTGCCCTGGTCTTCGGTTGGTAGTCCTTGTCACATTTTTTTTCCTCTGGAACAAACTTGCCGAAACCGAGCAGTCTTGTACTTGTAGGGACGAAAAGCCGTGAAACAATGTGCTCAGCCGGAGTTGGCATATGTCGTTCGGCATGGCCGGCCGCTGGGACCTTTTGAACATCGTTCCATGAAGCAACAGACAACTTCCTTAACTTTCTAACAGAGGTACGAACTTGCTATATAACAATATTGGTTTTTCGATCAACAAACTTCTAGCCCCAACTATCCATAATAATAACAATCACTGTGCTCAACTGTGCTGCCTGCAGCTTATCTGCGGCTGTAGCTGCAGGAACTTTCTCTCATCGTTCGAGAGAACTCCTTATTTGACACTGGAAAAATGAGTCGGTTCTTTTGTTGGTCTTGAAATTTTCTTCGTTTCCTATTTGACACTTATTTCAACTTTCATCCCTAATTTGACACTACCATCAAATCCATTAGCTAATGGTGTTAACTAGCTGTTAAAAAGATGTTTTTGCCCCTAGAAAAAAAACGGCGAAGCAAATTTGAGAGGAAAAAAAAACCTGCGCCTGCCTCTAATGCATGCGCCCAGCTGCAAAAAAAGACCAGCCAGCCAGCGATGCATACATGCAACAGCGCCTCTGCATGCGTCTAGGGGCAAAAACATCTTTTTAACCGCCAGTTAACACCGTTAGCTAATGGATTTGACGGTAGTGTCAAATTAGGGATGAAAGTTGAAGTGAGTGTCAAATAGGGAACGAAAAAAATTTCAGGACCAATAAAGGAACGACTCATTTTCCCAGTGTCAAATAAGAAATTCTCTCCATAGGTACCGTAGAAACAGCAAAAACAGCTACAGTGTAGCTGCAGCGAGAATAGTTTTCTACATAATCGATCGGTAGATTCTAATTGTCAAATACTAGACAATACTGTAATTGTCAATGGAACTATCCAATTTTCTAAAAAGTTACCACATTTACTATGTTTATTTAAAAGTAACATAATTAAAGTAACCTTCTAAGTCTATATATAAATATACACATATGCCTATATAATGCAAGATAATCTACACTATTAGCTTTGCATTGATTATAAGTACTCTATTTTTATAAAAAAATACTACGCATATCCATTGATAGACAAAACCTAACTTCTAATTAAATTAAAGCGTTGAAATGATTATTTGTATATGCAATTACAATACCTAAGAGTATACGACTTATGATCTTTTTTCAGTATAATACAAGAAGAAGAGTTATGTATAATCTATTTTTCAATATAATAAGCAACAGAGTTTTAATTAAAATTATGAATAAGAAAGTGTAACAATCTAGATTCATGACATCTAACACTTGGGTTACAACCAAAGTTGTTGTAACTTAAGCTAATATTTTAACTACATATGTGTTGAAGACACATGCATAGAGATACGATAAAATGGGGGAAATATAAATATGGATGAAAAACAAAAAGATGTCTATATGGGTGTTATATGTTATATAATGAATATAGACAGAGAGTGTATAATAAGAAATTTTCACTACTACGTACCGAGGTAGACATATGGGGCTAACAAATTGGAGAATCTTGTCTGGTTACACAATTTACCGTAAGAACTCTAAAGATTCGACCTATTTTATTTCTAATTGTCACAACCATGCAAGGAGAGAGAGAGAGAGAAAACTGAAAACATAATTAATCAAGTAATCTAGCACTAAACTTGAAAACGATGTTTAGAATGTCATTAACTTACCTTCTAGAGTTGCTACAAGGAAATCAAGAACAAATCCTCCCCTTTAGATGTGAAATTTTATCCTCCTTCGTCCTTGGGCTACAGTTATGTCTCTAGGAGGAAGGAGGGTGCTTTATATTTTGACCATTATTTATATATAGAGGCAGCTGAAAATCTGGGTGCCTTTAGAAATACTTGTTCTAGGGCAGTTAGGATTTCCAGCCGTCTCTGAAAATATCCACTCTATTTTCAAATGTGGATGGTTCTAACTGCATCTGGATTGGCACCTAGGGTCTCGCCAGACCCCTCGGGCGCGGGCTCCATCTTGCTAGACCCCTCGGGCGTGGGTTCCGCCTCGCCCAACGGGGATTCATACCGTCTCCAACAACTACGGGTCTAAGAGTACGACCCCAGGGTCAAACTTCTGACACCGGGAGGAAAGCGGGCACGTCTCGACGTGACCCGTGGACATGACAAATCATACCTAGGGGCTCACGTCGCCAACAGTGTCAGGCGTGCCGGCGCTGTGCTGCCTAATCCCCATACGGCTTCTGACAGGAATACCTGTTGACCACGTCACCCGCTAGAACGGAGTGGAGCGCCGCGACCGGCTGGCGACGCCTGCGTACAGAGCCAGTGACAAACAGGGCCATGATGTGGAGCCATCCCCGTCATCATCTTTAGGACCGGCGGGACCCACATAAAGGAGATGAAGGACGCCACGACCCTGGAGGCCTTCTTCTCCCTCGCTTTTCTCCTTTTCTCTCTCTTTCTCTATAACCTGCACCTTCCCCTTCACCTAAAAAAGGGAAAGCAGGACGCCGCATGAGAGGGACGAGCACACGGCTGAACGAGCTCAACAAGACTCAACTCTATTTGATTTTTTCACCAGAGACTTAGAACCTTCTCCCTCTCTCGCCCGTTTGTAACCCCTACTACAAACTAATGCCGGTAACACGAGCAGCAGTAGACTAGACGTAGGGATATTCCACCCGAACCAGTATAAATCCTTGTGTCCTCTGAGCACACCATCCGGGCTAGACGCGCAGATACAAATTTACTAGCCGGTGGTTCAAAACACCAACAGTTGGCCCGCCAGGTAGGGGGTTTTTGCACATCTCGACGTCCACATCAGGCCTTGGATGCCTAGTCACGACGTCAACTGGGTCCCGGGCGCTCACGTGCGCTTCGGGAGCCTGAACTTCATCATCACGATGGAGGGAGAGTTGGCGTAGGCTCTCGCCGCCGTCCAGCCTCTCCACTCCACCGGTCTTGATGCGATCATCGAGGTGCTTGAGGGGCTACAGCTACACACGGCAGAGGCCCATGTCCTGAGGAGCGACCGGCTCCATGGCTTTGACTATGGGAAGCTAGAGCGCCAACTCAACGCCTTCCTGGGACCTTGACCGTCCCGAGAGGAGCTGCATTGCCTTACTTTCTCCTTCGCCAATGCCATGATGCAACTCGCTGGAGGGGAACCGCTCTCCTTGGAACACCTCACCCGAGGTGCCCGGCAGTGTTCCCGTTCGGTCTGCGCAATGCTGCGGGGACCGTTCACCACCTCGTGGCACAGCGCATGCACCCATCCCCTACGAATGACGAGTTTGTGGGGATGACCGAATACAACGTGGAATCTTTCCACATCCTTCTCACGGGAGATTCAGAGTTGCTCTCTGACTCTGACTCTAGCAGGGGGAACCCTCACCCCTTGTGAGAATGTTTTATGGT